GGGGTATCATGGGCGAAACAGAGTACTACTCTGTTATGTCCATGGTACTGCTCATGTCTATAGGTGACAGTTACCACTTTCCATCAGTTGGACCGTCAGCTGTTTGCCATTTTAAGTTGTATAAAAAAAAAACAATCCTACATCACACATATTAGAGACAGAGTCCATAGAGTACCACAATTTGCCACTTTGAGCCACCTGCACTAATCCTCACTCATCAACTCTCACCAGTACAATGTAATCATACACCATTAAAAGAGGGGGGCTAATGGATTGTTAAAAATGGGAATCAATAGATTAGAGTAGCCCCATTGTTAGAAATACACATTGTTAGGTCGACCTCCTCGTGGTTCCCCCTGGAAACTATCATGTTCTATTCCAAGTGAATTCATCACAATAGGCCAACTGACTAGTCTTTTTATTGTCACCTATCATTCTTCATTTGTGCCCCACCAGAATATACTGTTAGCACAGACGGGGTTATCATTCCATTATCATCAACTTAAAAAAATATTAGAATAGAGGGGGGAAGATATTGTTAATAATGGGGTCTAACAGTTCCATTGCTATCAATATACCCTATCAGGTCGACCTCCACACGGTTCCCCCTGGAAACCATTGTAGTTCATTCTTGTAGAATTATTAATGATGTGCAAACTGACCTGCTTTCATCTTCACCTATCACCTCTAACTGGTGTCCACCAGCGTATATCGATAGTGCTGTAGGATTACCATTCTGTTTAGTTCCATTAAAAAAATGCATTTCTGCTATGTTCATATCTACATGAAATAGTTACTAATTGCCATCACGTGGGAGTAAAAATTGTTTACTAAACTATTATAAAAGGAAAACTTTTGTTAGTGTCTTATTTTACGCATATGGGGTCAGCTAAGGCGTTGTACGTCGATCCATACGGATCTTTTGTGCTTCCCCTTGCCTTATACCATCATTTCATAGATCCTACGTGTTAATCTAACGATATCCCGCGGTTTAAGATATCTGTACTCCCCTGGATCTGGATAAGCCGTTCCCAGTAGACTCATACGCATACTTGCCCACGAATCGCAGTTGCACATCAAGTGTTTCATGGATTCCAATTTCTCGCCGCATTTGTTAGCAACGTATAAAGTATTTCATACCTAAAGGAATGTACTAATCAAAGATGGCGTTGCTATGCTTTCTTATTTTTTACTCATCGAATGAAAAATAAAACTTACCAATGCATATAAACTCCAAGTCGTCATCTGGTATATTGAGGTAGTATCCACGACCGTCTTTTGTGGTCCAACGACCGAAGAGCCATGATAATGACTAAAGCTTCGTAGAGAATATACGCCATTTCTAGAATAAAACAATATAATTGAAGTTTAAAGAATTAATAAGTTTCTATGAAACGAAAATCGAGAAATAATATAAAATAATGTAAATACTAACCGTAGTAAAGCAATAAATTGTAAAAAGAATGATTAAATATCTTTTATATGGGTTTTTCTGGGAGAACCTTTTTTTCCAATTAGAAATTAGAAAAAACGAATTAAGGAAACACACAATGGTAACAACATCAGGACAACAGAAGAGTATCAGGATTGCCAGCTATGATTTTTATTATTTTTTCCCTAATGTACGATTTCCGCCGTATTAGCTAGCATTACATACGTTACAGTCGGTTCTCAATGTAAAGGGTACCTACTGACCTTCCATAAATATGATGGAATCAACGTATTCCAAATATTAAAGCAGTTGCTTCTTTCTGTATTCCAGAGTAGTTTAGTTCAGTTGAATTTAAAGTACGTGAAGCAAGTAACACAGGTCTCTTAGTTCCATTTAGGTATATCAATTTGAGAGAAAATAGCACCTAATCCCAAAGGTCTAAAGCATCTACAGTCAATATTAATTTGGACTCGGGGTCAAAATGAGCTAATACTTGATCTGACGTTAAAATAATTTTTATACTCTGAAAAGCATTTTCTTTATGTGTGCCTCAGAACAATTTTGCCCCCTTTTTTACCAAGTCATACAGGGGGTTAAGAATTGTGAATGCATTGGAAATAAAAGTTCTGTAGTAATTGACAAGTCCTAAAAATGATTGTAACTGATTAACATTTGTGGGCACTGCACCACAAACAGTCGCTTTCAGATAACTTTTTGATGTCGTTTTTATAAATAAAATACCCCAAATAGTTAATGCTCCTCTTAAAGTATTCACACTTTTCTTTTTTTAAGTGTTAACCCTGCTACTTTTAACCTTTTTAATACAATATTAAGCTTTTGTATTTGCTCGTTTCTGTTTTTACCGGTAATCAGTACGTCGTCTAATAAACACAGGACGCCATCTATACCTGACAATAGGCATTCTATAGAACATTGGAATATAGCCGTGTGCTTGACAACCTAAATACCATTCGCGTATATTTAAAAAAGTCGCGATGCGTATTTATACAAGTAATATTTTGTGACTTCTCATCAAGTTCGAATTGTGTGCACGCCATTGACAGGTCCAATTTAAAAAAAATCCTGACTACCATGCAATTTAGAAAATAATTCCTTAACAGTGGGTAGTGGGTGTTGTTCCACTATGAGTTGTTTATTGACGCTTACCGAGTAATCGACACATATTTTTTTTTTTTTTAATATTTTAAGGGCTTTTACCTTCTTGACACATATTCTAATTGTACCATTCCGCTTCAGTACTGACATAATATCAAACTTAATATGTAATGAACGCCGTATAATCAAGTTTAATTCGAATTGTTGACTATTTAAGTCTCCCAACATAATGTCTATCTAAAATCCAACGGTTGGTAAATATGGTAGTTAATCGCCTATATTTATAAAAAGAGCAATTTTTGTGTTTATCAAAATGTTAGTGCGAAAAAAAAATTGCTTTTAGAATGATGTCTAATTATATTCATAATTTATAAAACAAAATTATCAATCCCGAGTATTAGTCATGGTTATTTATTTGGATTAGGGATTTTGGATTTCATAATTAATTTGCTTATACATATTTTAATAAGTGCAAAATATAGCAATTTACTAATAAACAAGTAGCAGCCATTTGCAAACGAATATTTGTCTAAAAATAATAGTAGAAACGAATAGTATTATACGATTCCTTTGGAATCGCTAGAAGAGTGATCTACAGAGAAAATAATGATTGTTTTTTTTAACAGTCATTTGCATCGTCTAGTGGGAAAAACAACTATATATATGTGATGATAATTTTAGTTCTTGAATCTACAGAGGTCACTCAGCAACTCATTTTTTGGCATAGATTACGATAGCAGTAAAATGGGGTGGATAGGGTTCGGAGTACAAATATAAACAAAACTAAAAATGGGATATGTAGTCTTAGAGCATTTAAATTTAGTTTTAAATGCTCTAAGTTTGCAGTAGAAAAAACAAATATTATTGATTTTATATACGACTATTACGTGGTCCCAATAGTACCTAAAATATATCTCTTATTTTTTCATACCAAAGCAATGAGAAGTTACATAGATTGGCATTATTATTATTTTCTACATGGGATTTCCTACTTCAATATTTTATGGGCTTCTAAACTTACGGTATAATTTAACAAAGTCAATTGTGTGTTTATTAAAGTATCTTTACTAAAATATCTAGATGCGTAGCAGCATGTCCAGCCAAGTTAAAAAAAGATATTGGCAGCAGCAGCCGAGTGTACACGAACACGAACTATTTCGAGTTACTTGATGATATATGATAAAGAAAAGGCATGTCAGTTAGCTCATCGTGATGAATGCACCTGGAATTTAGCACAATAGTTTCCAGTGGGGAGCACGTGATGTTCGACCTGACAGGATATTTCTCTTCCACATTTAATCCAGCTCTCTTCCGCTTTTCTTTTACCAAATTTTTTTATGGCATTCCTGTTCTGATCTCTGTTTATTATGCTTTTACTCGTATTTAAATATATTTACAATAATTAAAAAATAATATAATTTGTTTTTAATTAATTATATTTTGATCTATCATTTTTATGAAACTTTGAATGGGAAGCAAGCTGACAGCTCACCTGCAATAAAATAGTAACCTTCGCCTGTAGACATATGTATGGACAGAACCATGGTCATCACTGAATACACTGTAGCGCCCATGTTAGTCCTCATTTTAAAATATATTTCTAAGTACTATAGTGTTATATCGTACGTACCTTACCTTATATATCTTAATATATACTATACCTTTCAAACAATAACATAACCATGCCAGCACACCTGCGTCACGAATAAGACAAAAATCCTAAGTAGTTTCTAATAAAGTCTTCATCTAGTAAATGGAATCCTGTTAAAAAAATGAAATTGTCTAAAAACCTTTATATATTTATTGTTAAATAAATTTTATTATAAATTATATACACGTATAATATATTTCAATCAGACCTTTTCAAATCACCCGTGGTCCACTAAGAGTATAAATAAGGATACGTACATTTTACTATAAATAATGAATTATTGCCTGCGTTTTAAATTATTATATATTTAGTAATATAGTTTAAATAACTGGAAATACTCAGAATGAGTAAACTAATTTTTCTAACAAAATAAAGAAATTTAAGTGCAATGGTCATTTTGTTTCTATTCACCCCGTTTTATAGTATTGTTGTTACCCAGTAAATACATAATATTGTTATTAATATAATGTTGCACAATTAAATATATACATAATATACATTTATAATTTTAAGAAATGGAAATTCTTGAATAAAATTTTGTGAAGAAATTTAAAGTTTAGTAGTTTTGGTACTTTTCAACCGTATATAAAATATACGAATGAAAGCAGCAGAAAAGAAGATGGGATAAGATATCAACACTAAAAGTGAAAACATTCCGAAGAGCGCTTTTTTGTGTTGTTCATAGTCATACGTAGTGAAAACCAATACAAAAGAAATCGTACTGGTTTGTAGAAAAAATATTTGACATATGGGAAAAATGAAAATCTTATCTGGCAACCCGTATCTTGTTTCCTTGTCCTGGTATGTTGGTCTTATTGTTTATTTCCTTAATTCATTTTTTTCTGATTTGTGGTTGAAAAAAAACGTTTTCTTAAGAAAAATTCATATTAGAAAAATTTTATCATTCTTTTCTCAATTTATTGATTTATTTCTGTTAGTATTTACATCATCATATATTATTTCTCAATTTTCATTTCATAGAAACTTGATAATTGTTTAAATTTCAATTATATTTTTCTATTCTAGAAATGGCGGATACTCTCCACGAAGCTTTAAAACCATTATCCTGGCTCTCCGGGCGTTGGACTACAAAAGACGGTCGCGGGTACTACCCGAATATACCAGATTTTCAATATCATGACGACTTGGAGTTTATATGCATTGGTAAGTTTTATTTTTTATTCTATGAGTAAAAAATAAAAAGCATGGCAACGCCATCTTTGATCAGTTCATTCCTTTATGTTTGCTAATGAAATATACGTTACTAGCAAAAGTTTTCTTTTTACATTATTTTACTAAACAATCTTTAATCCCCCCTGATTGAAATTAGTAACCTTTTCATGTAGACAAATCCATTGTGGTTTCCTTGGTATCTCATGCGATTTAGGGGGGGGTTTAGGGATTTTGTTTATAGGTGAAAATGGAATGGTAATCCCACCGCACTATCGGTATACGCTGGCGGGGCACCCGTGAGAGGTGATAGGTGAGGATTAAAGCAGGTCATTCAGCCCATCGTAAAAAATTCCTCGAGAATGAACCACAATGGTTTCCAGGGGAACCGTGTGAAATTCTACCTGATAGGGTACATTGCTAGCAATGGAATTTTAAGACCCTATTACTAACAGTCCTTTTCCCCCTGGGATCATTATTAATGAACTCCAAAAATTTACACAAAATTTCCAGAATAATATAAAGCAATAAATACAAATTTGTCAATATTAATATGAAAAGGGTATTCAAAAATTGAAAAGTGAGGAATAGGCAGTGGCATCTCTCTTAATACATCTAAAAGTCTAACTGAGGTTATCAACCTGCCAGCTAAGTGTGGCAACATCCCTTCCCTTCCCACATACAACAGAGCCCTTCAATTAACACTTTCAAGAAAAGGTTCAAGTTGCATTTCTTTTTTTTTTGAGTCATAATCTTAATTTTTCATTTTTATAATTGAACTGTCAAACCTTTTACCAGAGGAAAACTTTATACAAAAGTCGATTGCTTGGGTACCTCTGTCCCATTCTTTTCAACCATGAAGCAGTTGTGTTTGCATGACTGTGTTTTGGTTTCAAGGGTGGGATATGGCATGAATTTACTGGGTACAGAGGAATAACACCTGAGTCCTCAGTAACGGCAACGCATGGGTGGTATCATGGGCGAAACAGTATGTGTGTGTATTGTTATGTCCACAGTACTGCTCATTTCTATAGGTGACGGTTACCACTTTCCATCAGTTGGGCCGTCAGCTTGTTTGCCATTCTAAGTTGTATAAAAAAAAAACTTAAAATCATTTTACTAAATTTCTATTGTAGGTAGTATATATATTTATTTTAACATCTATTGCATAAGTAGGTAGGTATTATATTTATTTATAGTATATTTATTTATGTAATATTTTATTATGAATCTTAATATTTTATTTAACTGTATATTTGTTTATGTACTCTAAATATTAATAGTTGTAGCACTTCAGCTGCCCGCTAACAACATGCTTTCTAACTGCATTAGGTTGACTGGAAGAGATCTCTGTCCGAGATAAGTCTACCCTTGCTCACAATATTTAAAAATGCATTAACAATGTAATTTTGAAGTGCAATAAAGAATATATATTTTATATATATTACTTTACAAATGTCATTTGTAAACTGGTTTGGAAAACTTTTTTATCATTTTTTTTTTACTTAAATTGGTCACATAAAACATGCACTGTGGCCCACACTTAATCTACAACAGTTTGCAGTATTTCATTATATAATTAAAATTCTGTCTTGCTAAAAGTTGACTTGTTGAGAATGATATATAGCATTAAGTGTGCCTTTTGTACAAATCACTTATTGTAGTGTGGTAAATATAGAATAAATAAATAAATAAATAAAAGTAAGTAAAATTTTCATCAGAATTGTTTTAATATAAATTATGTTTTGAAACTAAAATGTTTTGCCACAATTAAAATTTTGTTTTGCGGAACTCAATCTTAAACATTTAATTTAAAATTGTGTTTTAAATATGCATTTTCATATTTATTTTATGCACACTATACTGATACGTTTGTTAAATGCTATTGTAAATGGCATATAAACAAATGGAAAAAGGAAATGTAAACCTCTTTCATCGAAAACTACCTACATTCTAGCAAAATAAATTCATTTCATTTCATTTCAACAAATATCATTATGTGTGAAAATGCAATTATAACACTGTCTGCTGTAATGGTGTATGGTGACATGGCGGTGTTGAGAGGTGATGAGTTAGGAGTGCAGGTCAATGGGTTCAAAGTGATGACAAAATTAGAGGTTTTCAAGTCGAATTGAATTGAAACCTATCTTCTAGGTTAAGTTGTACTCATACAGGAACTGCTGTGTTCTATCTCAATATTGTAAGACTATGATTGATCTACACTCGTGAGCAACCACATCAACTCGACCCTTGACGGCGCACATATGTATTGATTTTATTTAAACAACAATTGTCAATTATAAAAGTGATATGTCATTTGAAAGCTGAAGAATTGTGCTCTCATTTAAAATCAATACCCTAAAAAACTTAAGCGCTGATTTAATGACGCATTTTAATTGGGCGTCAGGGAAAATTTGCTCCAAAACCCGCCCACACCTGAGGGCCTACCATGAAATGTTTTCCGAAATTTCGGAGCCAAACGAAACAGAAATTTGATGTTAAAATTACATAATAAATGCCGTTTGGAAATATTAAAAATGTTAAAATATTGTTCCTTTGGACTTTTATGATAGGAGGATGTATGATGAAAGAAATGTTAAACTCCATTTATTGGTCCGATTTTGGTATAATCAAAAACACGAAATTGAGTCTGCTGGTTTACCTCATCAGTCACTTATCACAAGTTGACTCTGGTACACATCTCAGTAAATTTAATATAACCTAGTCAACATTGAATATATAATACAAATCATTTATTCATAATTTACAAAATTACAAGTCCAGTTTCAATTAATTATGTCATTCCCATTACAACTAGTCATGTTTTATTCTAAATTGAAGAACATGACATTTTCTATATGATAACAATAATGTTTACATGAAAAATACAGTTACATGAAAAGAAATACAACTATATATATGTATGAGTTACTTATATAGTCAACATATTTCATATGTTTTAATAGAAACATCAATAATGTTTCCTTCTATTATTGTACGCATACTGCCCGCTAATAAATAATTAATGCTCCTTTCCACTCAGGGTTTGCTGGAAGAGAACTCTTACAGAGTTAAGCTCGCCTATTGTACACCTTTATTTTATATATACTATATGTCATAATTTTTTGTGTACAATAAAGAATAAAGAATAAATAATAAATAATAATAATAATAATATATATGTATAATTACAATGGTGTGTAGTGATTAATAAAAATTGATACTTATTTCTTTTGTATTTATGTTTAAAACTAATATTAATTCATAACAATAATAATGATGTCATTGCAAATTGTTATTACATTAATAAAGTTTAGCATTAGAATTTATATATATTCTTTATTGCACTTGTAAATTACATTGTTAATGCATTTATAAATATTGTGAGCAAGGGTGGACTTATCTCTGACAGAGATCTCTTCCAGTCAACCCAGTGCAGTTAGAAAACATGTTGTTAGAGGATAGCTGAAGTGCTACAACTATTAATATTTATTTATATTTTAAGAATTCTACAAAACTAGAAAGCATTTTCAATAAGACAGTATTTCAGTTTATTTTTAAATTATATAATAATATGTAAATAATAATAATAAACCTACACACACATACATAGATACATATATTATTCACAATTATGATAAATGAATTATAAGTTTCAAAATAAAATTTTATGATACCTGCTTTAAAGGATTAAAAAAATTAATTTAAATAATGAAATAGGACTCCATTTTCCGCGCTTAGCCTCTAATTTGGGCCCTTGTGTGTATATTAATTTAAATATTAGTAAAGAAATAATTTGTATCATTACAGGTCAACCCATGTTCAACTTCACATCCATATCCAGACATCCCGAGAAGCAGTCACCCATGCACCAGGAGCGCGGCTACTTACGCATTAAACCGGGAACAAACGAGCTGGCATTCATAGTGAGCCATAATTTTGGCCTCACATCCCTCGAGGAAGGTCAAGTGGATTTTGAGAAGAAGGAAATAGTGTTGGAGACTGTGAAAATTGCACGTATGTCATTCGCTAAACCACCAGAAGTGAAGAAATTCAAAAGAGTCATCAGACTAATGGAACCAGATACATTAGAAGTAATATTGCAGATGGAGACAGAAAATAACCCATTGTCAGAGCATTTGAAAGCTGTCTATAGAAAGGTGGACTAATTAAGGTAATGGAAGTAATTGGACCTACTCAATTACATTATACATATTTGTATGTACATGGAGAGTTAGTTTCGAATGCCACTTAAAGAATTATTTGGGTCTAAAGCAATATAAAACAACTATTATACAACTTATGGGGGGTAGAAGGCTAAACTTTTGCTACTATGTACCCACCAAATAATTATAAAATTATTAATTGAATTGATACAAATGATTAATCTATATGCAGTCAAATATTATGTTATTGAAGATTATCTAGAAACATTAGACACCAGAGGGCGACACTCACATGAGTAATAATAATATATATAAACATACTTAATAGTGCATATTTATTAGAAAGGAGGACTCTTCAGTGGCTGTGAATCTATGGCTATGAGAGAAAAATGAAAAAAAAACAGTTCTTTATTGTACACAAAATAAGTTTCTTCTATATTTACATATTGATATAGAATGTGCAATTTGAAAAGGCAGCTTTATCACCAGAAGCAATCTCTACAGACACCTTGATGGTTAAACCATAAGAAGTTGTTAAACAGAAAGTAATGAAGCTAAAAAGAGATGGAGAGCATTGAAGAAGTTGGAAGGAACTGTTATGATTTTTTCAGTTTATATAGTGTTACACAAATTAATATTTTTGTTGATGACAAAGAAACAATTAAAAAAAAACATTCATTCATGTGACTAAGAAATTATTTGAAATTGTCCATCTATTTGGTCACGGAGCTACCTGCGTTATCCAGAGGATGCATCAACACTCTGTTGATGAGATTTATACTAAGACTAGAAAGTTTGGCATCTCCTACCTTTGTTGAAACATCCACTTATAGAATTCCTTTCCAGCATCTATGTTTCCTATTGGGTATAACTTGTATTTCTTCAAGAGAGGTGTGAAGAAATGTTCATATAAGCTATTATAGTGTGGACTGCAGGTTTGATGCAATCTCATGTGGAACCTGCAACTTGAAGAGGCAGATTTCATAAATAATTACCAACAGGTGACTATGGAGTCAATGTGTCAAGTCAGTATAGAAAAAAAATTATCAGCTGGAAGTTGCTTCCACAGCTGCATTCTCTGAAAAGGATTTATATTTACTATGGAACATTGTGTGGCTATATGAAGATAGAAGAAATAATGGAACACAATTTTTTACCTTTTTACAATTATGTGGAAGACAAAGTGAGGATACATTCTGTGAAAGTTATTATGAATTGATGAACATTTTTTACTCTTTCATGCAAACACTAGTGAATGGATTTAAATGAAGTTTGTTTCATGGGTAGCAGTCAGCATATGGGACACTTTGTTTACTAATTCACAGGGGCGGAGTCATAGGACACAGTGATAAACAAAATTTGAATAATATAGAATGCTACTAGTCATATTAATATAAGTGTAAAAGAATTTGTAAATATATTTTTTTTTATTTATAGATTAAAATGGAATGGTAAACCCAACCAAATGCAGTGTAGCCTGATAGATGAGCATAAACTATTGTTTTGAATTCACTAGAAATGAATGACAATGATTTTCAGGGGCTATTATTTTCTTACATTATTTACATTATAATTTTTTTTTTTTTTGTATATTTATTACACAATTATGCATGAACAATTGTGTAATAAGTACTCATAGTTGAAACTTTGCTTTATGTAGGACTAGATGTGGCTGTTGTAAATACCACAGAACATATTAAACCGTGGTATTTATCTATATTAATATTATGAATGGAAATGTTTATTTGTAATGGATAAACTTCGAAACTACTAGACCTATTTGAAAATTCGTTCACCTATAGATATATAGAATTACATTTGTTTCAGCATCACATGTGGAGGTATCTCAAGAAAGAAGCTACATTATCAACAAGTAACATGGGTTGTATTGTTCTGGGCCGAAACACTATATTAGTTAAAATTCATAATATTTTTGTTGTTGGTTATTTTCTACTTGTAAGTTGATAATTTGAAATTCTCTGGTCTTGTTGGAAATTTGTTCTTTTGATTCGTTAGCAGAGTGGGAGTTGGGTTTGTTTGTGGTCAAGTAAGGATCAATTTAAGGTCTGGTGGTACATGGTGGACAGTATTTACCGCTACTCACGTTGATTGCAGATTCTATCTCTGCACAGTACAAAAAAATCATATTCGTGAGTGTTTTTGTAGTGTTGTATGAAATTTAATAAAACTTCATAATTGACATATCTACATATAGCGCAGTTTAATATACGAATCTCAAGAGTAAGAGAGCTCTGTTGCAGAAATATCTCACTGAATAAAATATTGATACATGCTTGCTTAAAGAGACAAGGTTGTTATTGTAGTGTATTTTTTTTATGTATATTTTTTAAAAATAGATAAAATTTTATATGAGAAATCGGTTACAACAGGATACAACAGGGCTGTATACCTGAAGAAAATAAAATCCTTTAAAATCGAAGAAAAGTATTTGTGTATTAGTTTGTAGTAAGGTAGTATTGCACAAGTTTTATTAGTGTGCAACCAGATGTCGCTGAGTAATATGTCCTGCGGTATTTTTTTTTTATTTTACTATATTTTTATTGTCGTCGAATGAGTTCCTAAAGGAGTAAATACTCAATTTGTCTTTTAGTGTGGTCTGAAACGAAGTTGATTATTGTTATTGGATTCAATAATGTTTATTCATCCCCACGTTGGTCTGGTTGTGGGTACGACTACATTGCATTGTCACAAAAATGTGTTTTTCATTCCATCAATTTTGAATCTAATGTGTGTACAAACCACTACTAACTTGATCGATGTGTGTTCACGATTGTAATCTGCGATATAAAATATCTTGTTATCTATTGTTTTGCAAATATATAATAGAGTTCGTACAGGTTCGTACTATGTGAAGTCAAGAGATTATAAAAACAGAATTACGTCTTTTAACATACGTGACAGAAATAAAATAATAAATACATTTCCATGAAGTGAGTCTTTAGTTTGTTTGTCAAGTATTAAAAATCATAATAATAAATACAAACAAAGCAGAACACAAAAAAAAGTATAAGAAAATAATAAAAACAAAAATAGCCACAAAAATTGTTTGTTTCCTAGGGTTAGGATTGTCGTTATTCGGTCACTATTTGTCTCATTTGTTGGAATACAGGCTAGAATAAAAGAGAATAGTCGAAGGATGCAAAAAAAGTCATTTTCAGATTCAAAGACAATTTCAAATTGTCTGTTTAAAATTCGAATACCGAGAATACCTAAGTTCTATATCTATATATGTTTTGGTTTTGATAAGTGATGTTTCCTAGATATTGTATCTATGTATAATACTGTTTGCCCAAATAAAACAATATACCTATCTAAATGGTTTTCAGCAAGTCATGTAGTCTACTATGATTTCATTGTCCTTGAATGAGTTCCTAAAGGAGGAAATACTGAATTTGTCTTTTTGTGTGATCTGAATGGAAGTCGGTATTTGTTTTTAAAATCAATAAGGTTTATTCGTTCTCGTGTTGGCCTTATTAATTTTGTAACAATTGATGTTGCCATATTTATTTGCGGTACAAATAATTGCTTGTTTCTAACTAAAATCTATTTGTAGACACGTGAGTCCACGTTCTAAATTCAATTATTTTCAAAAAAATAGTAATAGAAAAATTATTATTGGTAGGAAATATTACAAATACATACAAAGTAGGCAAAATGGGCTGGTTCAGGTGATGTCGCTTGTGTCACAGTACAATGTGTACGAGTATGACTGCACAGCGCTGGTTTCCAGCCAGTCTCAGTCTTAATAAAACAAAAGAAAATGTAAAGTGGTTTTGGGTGCGACTGCATTATAATAAAAATTTTTATATTATCAATTATACAAAATATCAACTTCATCGGTGTGGTTACGATTGAAATGTTTACAAAATTAATTATCTTGTTGTTTATTGTGTTTTCCAGACACAATAGAGTTTGTACGAGAATAGAGAGAGAACGAGACTGAAATTGAGAAATAAAAAATAAGATTGTAATCTGTGTCTTGTAAATGTGTAACAAAATTTTGATACTTCATCGGTGTGTTCACAATTGAAATCTATTTACAAAATTAAATATCTTGTCATCTGTTCTATTTTCCAGACATACAATAGAGTTTGTACGGGAGTGTGTGAAATTGAGAGATCGAAAAATGCTATTTTAATCTATTATAATGTGTGACAAAAATAAATCAATAAGTACATTTCCATGAGGTGAGTCGTCTACTTGTTTTGTCAAGTATTAAAAAAAATTGTCTTAAGTTTTCTACAGGTTTGTCGTTATTTTTCTCAATTATTGGAATACAGGCCAGTGGAATAAAAATAAAACAACCGGAGGGTGCAAAAATATGAAAAATATGCAGGTGTAATGTTTCACATTATTTGTTATATTCAGGCGAAATAACTTCCAAAATAAGAGAATAATAAAAAAAAAAATACATAACGTCATTGGCATTTACTACTTTCTGCCAAACGATTCGGCAAGTCATATATGGTTTTTGCTATGGTAGAGTGCAGGCCAGAATAAAATGAAAGTAAGAGAAGGGTGCAAAAAAAATATATAATTTTAAATGTTATAAAATAAATTGTAATGACAAATTGAAAATTCTCCGGCGCAATACGCCAACTCGCCATGAGGTGCAGTGTCCATGGTTTGCTGGTCCTTGTAGTGGCCGCTGCTCGTGCCATCCTTTTCGTGAATTATACTTTCATAATGGGCTGAATAACAAAAAAAACATTGTACATGAAAACGTATAAATTGAACAGTAGTATTATTTTATTGTTAACTACTGAATTATTGTCTTGGGTAGTTCTTATGGAGTACAATGGCATATTCGTAGTTGTAGTTTTGTCTAATATCTGTATGGATCAATATGTGACAAAAAGACTCACCAAAGGGAAAATTACAAAAAGGTTAGCATTCATTTTAAATGTCGCCGATACCTACCAGTCGCATATCTATATATATTTCGGTTCTTTTGGTTTTTAATAAGGAGAAGGTCATCACTCATTTCCGTGTTGGTGTCATTAATTTTGTGACTATTGATTTTTCCACATTTGTTTGTGAAGCAAAAAATTGTTGTTTCAAACTAAAATCTTTTTGTAGACACAAGAATCCACGTTTTAAATTAGAATATTTTTAAAAATCGAAATATATTTATTGCCAGAAAACATTCCAAATACATATAAACTAGGCAAAACGGACTAGCAGTGCTGTATTTCAGCCAGTCTCTTTTAATAAAATAACAAAATATAAACTTGTTGGAATACAACAAAAATGTGCTTTCAATACCATCAATTTTCAATGTATCTTCAAAACGCTTACTTCATCAGTGTGTTCACGATTGAAATCTGTGTACCATATTAAATATCCTGTTATATGTTGGTGTTTTCCAAATACATAACAAAGTATGTAGGGGACTGTGTGAAATTGAGACGTCAAATTAAATCTCTGACAAAAATAAAACAATAAATAGATATAATTTCCATAAGTTGAATCCTTAGATTGTTTGCCAAGTATTAAAAAAAAATACATTAAGTTTTGTACTGGGTTGTCGTTATTTTGTTGGTATTTGTTTCAATTGTTGGAATACAGGCTAGAATAAAAAGAAAACAACTAAAGGGTGCAAAAGAAAAAAAAAACAGCAATTTTAAATATTACAAAAATGTAATTGTAAATTGCCTACAAAAATTTCTGAATGACTGAAATTCTATTACCGAGAATACCAGTCCTAGATCCATATATCTCTTATTTTTTATAAAGGATTTTTCCTAGATATTATATCTATCATATATACCTATTACTCATCCTTACTAAAGGATCTTCCTGATTATCCGAATAAAACAGTGTACCTAACTAAATGGGTTTCGGAAAGTCGTATAGTTTTTGCTATATTTTGATTGTCGATGAATGAGTTCCCAATGGAGCAAATACTTGTCTTTTTGTGTGGTCTGAATGGAAGTAATTGATTTTGAAATCAATGAGGTTCTTTCTTTCCCGTGTTGATATTATTAATTTTGTGACTATTGATTGTACCATATTTGTTTGCAGAGCAAAAAATTGCTCGTTTCAAACTAAAATCTATTTGTAGACACACGAATCCACGTACTAAATACAATTAATTTAAAAAAAATAGTAATAGAAAATTCTTATTGGCAGGAAATATTACAAATACCATACAAAGTAGGCAAAATGGGCTGGTTCAGCTGGTGTCTCTTGTCACAGTACAATGTGTACGAGTATGACTGCACAGCGCTGGTTTCCAGCCAGTCTCAGTCTTAATAAAACAAAAAATATAAAATGGTTTCGGGTGCGACTGCATTATAATCAATTTTTTTATATATTCAAATTTACTAAATACCAAATTCATCCGTGTGGTTACGATTGAAATATTTACAAAATTAATTCTCTTTTTATTTATTGTGTTTTCCAGACAAAATAGAGTTTGTACGAGAATAGAGAGAGTACGAGACTGAAATTGAGAAATAAAAAAATAGGATTGTAATCTGTGTCTTGTAAATGTATAACAAAATTTTGATACTTCATCGGTGTGTTCACAATTGAAATCTATTTACAAAATTAAACATTTTGTCATCTGTTGTGTTTCCCAGACATACAATAGTGTTTGTACGGGAGTGTGTGAAATTGAGAGATCGAAAAATGCTATTTTAATCTATTATAATGTGTGACAAAAATAAATCAATAAGTACATTTCCATGAGGTGAATCGTCTACTTGTTTTGTCAAGTATTAAAAAAAATTGTCTTAAGTTTTCTACAGGTTTGTCGTTATTTTTCTCAATTATTGGAATACAGGCCAGTGGAATAAAAATAAAACAACCGGCGGGTGCAAAAATATGAGAAAAAAAAAATTACTGACATTAGCATTTACGAATTTCTGCCAAACGATTCGGCAAATAATATGGATAGTCTTCGCAGTTTGTGTCGGTGTACGAGTTCCTCAAGGAGGAAAAACTCAATTTATGTTTTTTGTGGTGAGAAACTAAGTTGATAATACATCGGAGTACAGGCTAGAGTAAAAAGAAAACGAGCAAAGGGTGCAAAAAAACGAAAGTTTATAATTTTAAATATTACAAAAATGTAATTATAAATTGCCTACTAAAATTTCTGAATGACTGAAATTCTATTACCGAGAATACCAGTCCTAGATCCATATTATCTCTTAATTTTAATAAAGGATTTTTCCTAGATATTATATCTATCATATATACCTATTACGCATCCTTACTAAAGGATCTTCCTGTTTATCTGAATAAAAAAGTGTACCTAACTGAATGGGTTTCGGAAAGTTGTATAGTTTTTGCTATATTTTGATTGTCTATAAATGTGTTTAATAGTTGCCAATGGAGGAAATACTCAATTTGTCTTTTTTGTAGTCTGAGTGAAAGTTGATGATTAATTTGAAATAATTAGAGTTCATTCGTTCCCGTGTTGATCTCATTACTTTTGTAACTATTGATGTTACCAATTTGCGTGTGGAGCAGAAAATTGTTTGTTTCAAACTAAAATCTGTGTACGTGCGAATAATAGAAATTATAAAATATTTATTTGATAAGGAAGAGATTATAACTCCTACCAGTCCGATATCTATATATCTTTTGGTTTTGATAAAGAAAAAAGGTCATCAGCCGTTTCATAGATATTGTATTTATGATACGAATATATATTACCCATCCCTACTGCAGTATCTTTTTGTTTATCCAAATAAAACAGTGTACCTTACTTAATTGGGTCTCGGCAAGTCATATAGCCTTTGCTGTTATTTTATTGTCTTGGAATGATTTCCTAAAGGAGGAAATACTGAATTTGTCTTTTTGTGTGATCTGAATGGAAGTCGGTATTTGTTTTTAAAATCAATAAGGTTTATTCATTCCCGTATTGGCCTTATTAATTTTGCAACAATTGATGTTGCCATATTTATTTGCGGAGCAAAAAATTGCTTGTTTCTAACTAAAATCTATTTGTAGACACATGAATCTACGTACTAAATACAATTAATTTAAAAAAATAGTAATAATAAAATTCTTATTGGCAGGAAATATTACAAATATGTACAAACTATGCAAAATGGGCTGGTTCAGGTGATGTCGTTTGTGTAACAGTACAATGTGTACGAGTATGACTGCCCATCGCTGGTTTCCAGCCAGTCTCAGTCTTAAGAAAACAAGAAAATGTAAAGTGGTTTTGGCTGCGACTGCATTGCAATAAAATTTTGATATTTCATCGGTGTGTTCACGATTGAAATCTATTTACAAAATTAAACATTTTGTCATCTCTTGTGTTTCCCAGACATACAATAGTGTTTGTACGGGAGTGTGTGAAATTGAGAGATCGAAAAATGCTATTTTAATCTATTATAATGTGTGACAAAAATAAATCAATAAGTACATTTCCATGAGGTGAGTCGTCTACTTGTTTTGTCAAGTATTAAAAAAAATTGTCTAAAGTTTTCTATAGGTTTGTCGTTATTTTTCTCAATTATTGGAATACAGGCTAGTAGAATAAAAATAAAACAACCGGAGGGTTCAAAAATATGAAAAATATGCAGGTATAATGTTTCACATTATTTGTTATATTCAGGCGAAATAACTTCCAAAATAAGAGAATAATAAAAAAAATTACATAACATTGGCATTTACGAATTTCTGCCAAACGATTCGGCAAATAATATGGATAGTCTTCGCAGTTTGTGTCGGTGTACGAGTTCCTCAAGGAGGAAAAACTCAATTTATGTTTTTTGTGGTGAGAAACTAAGTTGATAATACATCGGAGTACAGGCTAGAGTAAAAAGAAAACGAGCAAAGAGTGCAAAAAAACGAAAATTTATAATTTTAAATATTACAAAATTAATTCGAATTAAAAACTACAAGGTGTCGATTGAATATTGTCCGGCGCAATACGCCGACTCGCCATGAGGTGCAGTGTCCATGTTTTGCTTTGCCTTGTAGTGGCCGCTTCTCGTGCCACGCTTTTCGTGGATTGTACTTTCTTAATGGGCTGAATAACACAATAAACATTGTTCATAAAAACGTATAAATTGAACAGTAGTAATTAACAGTATTGAATGGAAGTTGATGATTCATTTTGAAATAATTATTCATTCGTATTCAAGAGTTCATTCGTTCCCGTGTTGATCTCATTACTTTTGGTTACATGGTTACCATTGATGTTACCATATTTGCGTGTGGAGCAGAAAATTGTTTGTTGCAAAGTAAAATCTGTAGACGTGCGAATCCATGTACGAAATAAAAAAGTTTTAAAATAGAAATTATAAAATATTAACACTAGATATACCAGCTGTTTACGTATACCTATTTGTACCAAACCAGTCAAAATGACAGGTGCATTAGAAAAAAGGCTTATTGTGGTTTCCAGTCTATATTAACTCTTAAAAAGGATAAAAATAAAATTGAACAATATTAAGTATAATACATAAATGGATTTATAGACATTGTCAAATAACAAAACATTTAATTGTTTACAGTTTGTTGCTCACAATTTGTACATGTGTAGATTTTGCTGCGTGTACACTTTCCGCATAGACTTTTTTTGCATTTATTGCAAATATTTGTAGTTTTATTGTTATTTCAATATCCTTTGACACTATTTTCGTACAGGAACAGTGGCATTTGTGGTTGGTGTATTGAATTCGGCTGGTTTTTGCCTTGAAGTCTGATATTCTGAAGCAAGTTCTTCTGCTAATCGAAATAGAAAGTCTTTTCGTGAGATATTTTCTCCTGTAGTGTTTTTATACAATATCCAGCTATTTATTACGGCTAAATCTAAAATATTGAAAAATACTTGAAGTGACCACCTTCTGGATCCTGATTTCGCCGTATATTTTCGTGCCATTTGATCAGTAATATCGACGCCAAATTTAGTATTATTATAAAACGATACGGTTTCCGGTAATTTCTTTGCAGCTTTATCAATTTTGATGTGTTTATGTTTTGTACTTAGTATAAGTACTTTTTTTATTTGGTTTGCTTTTATAAATAGTAAGCGTGCATCTATTTCATTGGTAAAACAACGTTGAGAAACGTTCCATGTTGTCTTTTCAGTTTGCAAATTTTTGGCAGCTCCCTCTTGTTTGCGCGTATTGTTCCAAGCAACGCAGTATTTTTGGATTTTAATTTTAACGCTAAAGGAATACTTGTAAAAAAATTATCAGTTGTTACAGTTCTACCTTTCATGGTATATGGTTCAAGAAGTTTCATCACGACAAATTCGCTTAGGGGGGTTGATGCATTTCGTGTCTCGTCTTTTCCTAAATACGGAAAACCATTTATCACATATTTCGTCTCTACATCGGACACTAACCAAAATTTTATGCCAAATTTTTGAGGTTTGTTTGGCATATATTGAGTGAACCTACATCTGGCCTTTGATGGAAATAGTCGGTCATCCACGGTAATATAAGCTCCCGGTTTGAAGCAATTTTTACTGTTTTCAATAAATTTATCCCAAACTGCTGAGACTAAAGCGAACTTGTCTGTCTGCAAACGTTGACTCCTCTGATTTTTTTTTGTCGAAACGAATGTATCGCAGAATCTCAGTAAAATCACGTCTACTTATAGTGTTAGAGAAAAATGATGGTCCCCACTTGTTATTCCACAAATATTGAAGCCTCAAATTATTTCCTTCGTACGCTCCACGTGCATATAATATTGCTAGAAATGCCTTAAATTTTTCTTGCGTAATTGTCCAGTTTTTCCCCAAAACTCGAGAGGCTTCTAACTCAGTACAAATTCGAATATGTTCCAAAATGTGGTTGTCAATCAGTAATAGGAACGTACTACTTAGATTCCCGTCCATAATGTTTCTTTTAGCTTGTTCTGTTGTCCCGTGTACATCTTTAAAAGCACTATGAAGTGGTAATCTACCAGCAATACCTCCTTCTTCAATTCTCGTCCAAATGGTTCCGTCGGAAGCAATTTCAGTTTGCTGATTTGGTACGTTACTTCCACATTCATCTTCAGAACTGGAAGGGAATCGCATACATCGTCGTGTGCGTTTGTTTAGAATATTTTCGCAATCACTGTCACTTGACTGATTTATATTGTCTTCATCAGGAATTTCCTCTTCGTCACTTTCGATAATAGCACTACTATTATCACCATCACTATCACATAATTCACTCTCTACATCTGAACATTCCTGAGGTATTTTAGTTGCATTTTCTAAATATGCAGAAAGTTTTGCTTTTTTTGACATTTTTTGGGGCTCACAATCACTATAAAAACTTTGTCTATAAGGAAAATGCTGCGAGTTGAACAAAGCTAGAAACAAGACTGAACATGTCTAGAGCATTTACAAAACAAATGCTTATCAAAATGACGTCATCAACACAATGACGATAGTGAAAGAAAACAAAAGACGGTAACGAAAGATACAAAAGACGCTTCTGTGCTATATGTACTGCAACGGTCTCATGATTCTCCCAAAATCATACATTTTTTCATAAAAACACAACCTGTCATTTTAACTGGTACTGGTATAAATGTCAATAACAAAAATTATATTTGTTACTAATGTATAAAAAACAACATTAACTTTATAAAACATGTTCTCTAATTATAGCAACAAAAGTCATAAATTCATTTGTGAAAAAAAGTTTTATTTTGTAGGAATTTTGAATTGAAATTATACGACCAGTCTAAATGAGTGGTCTGGTAAATCTAGTGTTAATTTGATAAGGAAGAGATTACTCCTACCAGTCCGATATCTATATATACCTTTGGTTTTGATAAGAAAAAAGGTCATCAGCTGTTTCATAGATATTGTATTTATGATACGAATATATATTACCCATCCCTACAGCAATATCTTTTTGTTTATCCAAATAAAACAATGTACCTTACTTAATTGGGTCTCGGCAAGTCATATAGCCTTTGCTATGATTTTATTGTCTTTGAATGATTTCCTAAAGGAGGAAATATTAAATTTGACTTTTTGTGTGGTCTGAATGGAAGTTGATGATTCTTTTTGAAATGAATAAAGTTCATTCATTCCCGTGTTGGCTAAAAAAAAGTAGCAGGTGTAATTTTTCATATTATTATATTCAGTCTAGATAAGCTCCAAAATTAGAGAAAAATATAAAACAAACTACATAACATCATTGGCATTTACGACTTTCTGCAATTTCTTTCATTTCGCAAGTGATATGGAAAGACTTTGCAGTTCCTATTGTCGGTGTACGATTTCTTCAAGGAGAAAATATTAAAATTTGTGTTTTTTTTTGTGGTCTGAAACGAAGTTGATGATACATTGGACAGGCTAGAATAAAAAGAAAGCAAGCGAAGAGTGCGAAAAAAAAACGTAAGTTTATAATTTTAAATATTACAAAATTAATTCTAATTGCAAATTACATGATGCCGATTGAGAACTCGCCGGCGCGATACGCCGACTCGGCATGAGGTGCAGTGTCCATAGTATGCTGTGCCGTGTGTCGGCCGCTGCTCGTGCCACGCTTTGCCCGCTCTTTTTTTTTTTTTGATGGCTACAATGTATGTTTTTTTAACCCTAGACCACTAACCTTCCAGAGTACCCTATTAAAACTAACCATTCGTCTTTTCGACGAACATGTTTTTAACGTGGTATTTTTAGGTGAATTATGCTGTTTTTTATCTAAATTCTTCTGAACAATTAAATAACATAGGTTACATTTACAAATAAAACTACAAAAAATAAAGTAATGAGAAATATTTATTCAAACTTAACATTTTTAGTAAGGCACTTGGTTTTCATGAGATCAAAAAAACGTTATTCTTTGGAAAATTAACAAAAATATTTAAACAAAAAAAATCATATTCTTCTCTTAAGTACTTATAGAACGAGATCTTAGTAATATAAAAAAATATATAAAAGCTATTTTTTGTCTGCGCAACTAGTGCAGAAATCAATCTTATGTTCACCGCAGATTGCGATGCTGCACTGTGAGCAAATGGACTTTGTCATACGCCGTTTCTTATAGGAACATATACCGCAAATTTTCCTTTTTCTTATATTATGACCTGTCGATACAGACTCATTTCTCGACGTTGACTGTACTTCGTCACGATCACCACCTTCAACATCAGTACCAATCCCTAATACATTTTGTATTTTCGTTTTTGTATGCGTGGGCATTGTGGGCATTTGCAGTCGTGTTTCGAGCCACGGTTTTACAAGTTGGGAATGCAATTCTTTCATATAATTACAACGGCTCATTATCTTTTGTACCAGAGTTGACACATTATGGCAGTAAATTATGTAGTAGCTATTGATACAAGCGATATTTAGCATGTCGTAGAAGATGCACATGGGCCACCGATTAGTTTTTCTGTTGCAAGTCATCACCGAACACATCTGGTCAAAAGTGTCCACACCACCTTTTGTGCTGTTGTAAAATTCAGTCAAATTTGGCTTATGTGTCTCGGGATTCACTGTACCTTCTTCATCGCAGGAAGATAGCACGTAGACCATTTTTGACGGCTTCGGCTTGTACGAAAGAAGCGTAAGCGGACCATCATAGCAAAACATGGAGGTATTTACATTCCTTGAGCGACTATTTTTTATCTTTTCAGGAATTTCTCTTTTATAAGATCGTAATGTACCCACAATTGTCAGTCTATAAGGCTCCAGAAGTAATTGTTTCGCCAAGGGTATCGACGTAAACCAATTATCCATGGTTACGTTTCTGTTCGTACCATGGATGCTTCGTGTAAGTTCCTTTACAAAGTATTCTCCCAAAGGCAAACCTCCAGTATCAGTGCCTTTTCCAAGATATGGAGCACAGTCGATCATATATTTAGTGCCACTATCACAAAGCATTTCTAATTTGAGGCCATACTTTGCAGGCTTGTTCGGAATATACATTCTGAATTTACATCTCCCACGAAATGCCAACAGTTGCTCATCAATTGTGACGTTGCTTCCAGCCTCATAGTTATCTCGACACTTAGTTATGAGCATTTCCCATATCTCTCTTATTGGTGTAAAAGGATCATCTTTCTGTCGTTGTAATCGAAACGTTTTGTCGTCAAATCGAAGACATCGCAAAAGAAAAGCAAATCGTTCTTTACTCATACATGAGACGTATCTTGTACCAGAATACTCAGTGTTGAAGAGTTCTTCGAGGGATAAATGATTGTCTTTGAGAGCTGCAGTCAAAACTAGAATGCCGATAAGGGCTTTGATTTCTTCGTTACACGTATTATTCTGCGTGGAAGATAATTAGTCATAGTTTTCTTTTTTGACACCAATTTCTTCATTCGTCCACTTCACTATGATGTCCACTATCTCATCTGTAAAGAACTGGCTGAACAACACCAGTGGATCCACAATACCCCTAACAGCTCGAGTTGGTCCTCTAGCAACCCGAATAATATTTATAGGCGCCGCTCTGCCTGTAGAACGTCCTTTGCTGGTGGCCCAAACATGACGGTTTTTACCACGGATATTACTTTGTGTCAATGTCAATATGTTAGTATTTGAACTTGAATTTTCTTGACCTAAATCAAGTGGTGTTTGTGACGTCGATGTAGACGGCTCAGGAATGTTTAGTGAGCTATCTTTGCGATCTGACGATTCGTCTTGAGCATCACTTTCCACATAATCATCTTCTAAATTATCTTCATTTTCACTGCATGAATCCTCCGGTATGCTCGTATCATCCTCTTCTAACAGTAAACGAGTAATATTTTCTTCCGATAGTGGTTGTTTTGAAGCCATCACAAAGAAAACTGCGAAATAAAATATTTCGCAGTTTTCTTTGTGATTCGTCGAAACGACGACTAAATATTGAATATCTCAAAAACTTTAAAACTTACCTGCCGCACACAACCGCTTTCTGAAAGAACACGAGAGGCACTGAGTTGACAAGTCGCGACACGATCACTGGCGCCCGCTTTAACCCTTAATCAAATGGATTTTTTTTTTAAATAAAATTATGAATTAAACATGGTTTCTAAGTAAAAGGGCTTTGTAGATTTCGAAAAAAACATCATTTTTTTTATAAAAAGAGGGGAAATGGGGGTTTTACGGTGGGAAATTATTTCCCATTATCCAGTATGGAAAAGCAAAATATAATTAAGTGGGAAATTATTTCCCATCATCCGGAATGGTTACATTTTTTTGGGACATTTTTACTACAAATTCTATACATATTACTCCTACTTTACTTGTTTATTTTTTTTATATAAAAAATTCAATATAACATGATTGAGTGATTGAATAAAATTATAAAAATAAAATGAAACTAGAATGTTACAAATAATATTTTATTAAGAACTTTTCAAATACTATATGAAAATAACATTACTGAGTAAGAACTGTGTGAAAGGTTTTGAAACAGTTTTTGGCACAAAGAGCTACCCCACAGGAGGAACATACTATTTTTGTCCTCTGTTCTTTGTGCTTTGTGCTGCAAAAGCGACATCTTTTGTAAGTGGCACTTTCTTCAGGCAAGTGTATGCCAACATTTAGCAGCCGAATCTCATCGGGAACGCCAAACCTACCACCTTTTTTATTTTTTTTAAAAACTACATCTGTTTGTGTGTGAGTTTTTCGTGTCGTGTGATTATCTATAAGGGCACGTGCTAACCGTAGTCTGAAATCACGGTGGCCATGCAGGGTCGGGACATGGGAGTAGTTGTACGTTATGTAGGCATTAATTATAGATGCATCGAACAGAAAGAAGAATAGTCGCATCCAATATTTCCTGGATTTCCGGTTTATAGGGTATGACGATCTAAAATGGTCAAAAAGATCTACTCCGCCCATACTGAGCGTGTATGAAGCAATTGCAGCCGGGCAGAGAATGTCAGCTCCAGAGCCATCCTTTTGGGTTCTTTTTATCATCCTTGTGTCTAAGGGCTGATGTGCTGTTGTCAGGACAGTAACTTCCTTTGTGTCAAGCCATTTAATGGCTGTGATTGGCTCTGCAGTAACCGCTGAAAACTGATGTTTATCTAATCGCAATGGTTTCGGTTGTTTTTTTTTATCATATCAGGTAAGTCCTTTCTGTTGCATCTGACTGTTCCCACTGCATAAATATTTTTATCGTAAAGATCCTCCATGAGGTTACAGCTAGTAAAAAAGTTGTCAAAGGCAATTAAAGTGTTTCTTGGTACGTTACTGCAGAGTTTCATGACAACATTGTAGCCTAACCCTTCATTTTCGGTGCTGTCGCCTTTTCCTGAATACACTTCGAATTGGTACAAGTACCCAGTTTTGGCGTCACATCTTGCCCATACCTTAAATCCTCTTTTGATGGGTTTTTTCGGCATGTATTGCTTTAAGGAGCTGCGCCCTTTAAATTTGACCATACACTCATCAATCGATTGTACTTCTGAATTGTATGCCTCTCTTTGATAAACTTTGTTGAGTTCTGTGAGGAGGGGTCTCAATTTAAATAATTTGTCATATTCAGGGGAGTTTCTTGGTGGTTCCATCTCGTTATCATTTAAGTGGAGGTTTTCTGTAATTTTTTTAAATCTTACTATTGGGAAAACCTGGGCAATTTCCTTATTGTAATAAAAGGGATCTGATGACCAGTAGAGTTCCATGTCCGGTAAAGGATTTAAGCCCATAAGGATTAAAACTCCTAGATACGCCTTAATATCTTGTAGAGTTACAGGTTTCCAGTTAGTACTATTTTTCTGACGGGCATATCTGTTGGTTTGTTCCACAATTATTACCATCAGTTCATCAGGAAAAAGCCGCTCAAAAATACTTAGAGGTGATGTTTTATGAGTATCGTTAGCCTTGGGCTTAAAACGTTTTTCGGAACTTCATGGGTTTCCGATTTTATCTCCCATACTCTTGGCTGAGAACGATCTCTGCGTACTTCGTTGTTAGTTTCAGACTCTTGCCCATCATCTGCCAAAAACTCTTCCATGGGGGCATCAATGACATCAAAATTTTGCTGAACTTCATTAAATGTGTGAACGTCAGAAGGCTGATCATAACATTGCTCAGTTTCAGTACCTAAGTGAGTTGGCAAAAGACTGTTGTCTGTTTTTGGTGTGTTTGTGAAATGCGATGTTTCATCTAAGACTGTCAGTAAGGCATCCGTTGAAATCTGTTGAGTTTGCATAGGGGGAGAAGGTGGGTCTTGTTTGTCTCCCGTCAATCCAAAGCCAAAGATATGTTCAAGACGTTGTTCAATTAGGTTATCATCGAGCTGATTTAGGTAACTATCGGAAGGAGAATGAATACTGTTGATAAAGCATGAGTCATCCTCAGAATCTGAGCCTGATAAATCAGACAAGTCGTCTAAATTTTGTACCACCTCTTCTAATAGTTTCTTGGCGAGCACTTTACGTTCCTTTCTTGCGTCCATATTTGAATAGCTGAAAGTAAATTATAAAAAGTTGGCAATTATGTAGTTTTATCAGCATATTGCACAAATAGTTACAAAAGTCCTAAAACTTATAAGTGGCTTCGTTTGGAATAAAGCATAGAAATCACATAAACGCAGTCACAATTTTGCAAAAAGCCACTAATTTGACTTACTCGTTATCGTATTACAAGTTCCTATACCGTTATTATTACAGCTGACAAACAATTTTATATATATATATAAAGACACTGATGTTTATCAAAGCAGGAACGAACATTGGGAAATTATTTCCCACCTAATTAAACCTAATAAAATCCAAGAAATATCAGTGCAAAAAGCACAGAAACCGTAAAAAGCATTCAGAAAATAAGTCTAGTTTACATCAATATATTGTTTATGTACTTACCAGATTTTTTTTCTACAAAAATTTTCGAAAGTCCTGCGAGAACCGGTTTTGTGCACCAAAAAATTCAAATTGTGACTTTGACATTGACATACGATGACATTACGCAATTTTGTCCAAAATGTTGCCAAGTAAAATATTTAAAAAGTGTGTAAAATTATTTTGTTCCTGGATTGGTACTGATTAGAGTTACCAGTAAAGAAATAATAAAGAAATATTACGGTACTGTCAAGTGGGAAATAATTTTCCAATATTTGAATAAGGGTTAAAAAGAGATAGCCTATTTTGTGTCGCGTATTCGTCGATTTGACGAAGGTTAGTTGTCCAGGGTTAACACCGGTCTAAAGTAGTAATCCACAAATGTTTCTATTGGTAAGAAAGACAATTTTTCATCAAATAAATCACAAAGTGGTAATCGCGATGTGTAAGAATTTAAACTTTTCACAAGAAAATTAAGACAAGTTTAATACAGACTAAACTTGTCTTAATTTTCTTGTGAAAAGTTTAAATTCTAACACATCGCGATTACCACTTTCATTATAATCCGTAAACATTTAACAAAACTCAATAAAAAAAATAAAAAAACTTAAAAGTGTCTTCTTTTTGACAACGCTTTTCAAATTATCCTTAATTTACTGAATTTCTTATAAAATAAAGTTCTCTCACAAAACTATTAAATCGAGATAAAAAATGAACACAAAATTATTAATTAAAAAATAATTTTATCAATATCAACGAATTTTTAGCCATTTTATCATCTAATCTATTTCTGTTATTGAAAAACCTTTTTTTAAAACGTTGTAACGTTGAGTTTTTGGATGATGTCTTCCCAACGATATAGTTGTTCGACTTTTATAGCTGACCATCGCCAAAGTTGGACTCCCTTTTTCTTGCTTCTTGGAAATTGAAGTCAAAGGAATCTCTTCATCCGATTCTTGGCTAATATCAACAATATCATTTGTTTGTGGCATATTTAGTACAGTTTAATCCTCAGTTAGGATATTTGAATAATTGAAAGTCATCATTCTTTCTTATAGTTCATACTAGACGTCCTCATCGGGCAAATCCTAAGTTGATCAGCTATCACTCATATAAGAGCTGCAACTTGTAGTAGAATCATGACAAACGATGGCGTCGTCGCTGGACTTTAGCAACTTGTCGTTCGGTGGCAGTTTTCTTTTGTTTTTAAACGGTTTTATTTGAGGGCGCATTGCGTCAAACCAGATAAACTGGGGTTCTTCAATATGTGCTGCAGAAATTGAGAGACCAGCAAGAACATTGTTTCTTTTTTTTATTTTGTTTTGAACTGCGTTTCCATCAATTCGTGTTTGCTCTAATCATTGCATAAACGTTCCTTTAATTAAATGTAAATTGACTGTACGGTCCCGTTCAGGTAGCCTGTTCAAAGGTTCGTCTTTATTGATTGGCATGATTCTCGTTTTTCCAAAACCAGTCATTATATTTTCGCGAGTAGCTGTCAAATTATTCACTGCATTTTTTATTAGAGGAAATTGGTCCTTTGGGATTGTTGAAAGTCGTCTTCCTATCTATCTGTGTTTCCAGTTTAGTGATACCTGTCGCCACTTCTGCTTTAACGACCTGAAGAGAGCCACGTCTAATGATTGTAATATATGAGTGGAGTTTGCAGTCAAGCATATGAAACTTATATTATGTTTCTGACATTCTTCTAGAAAATCCTCCTGCAAAACAAATAAGAAAAATAGTTAAAAATAATGGACAAAATTATTTTGGCCAAAGTAATACAAAACTTAAGATAAAATCTATAAGCAATTTTTTTGACTACATCACAAAAACAATTACTTTAAAATTAACAATTCTTGTTAATATCTTACTACACACTTGATAACAAACATATTTACAGAACTTTTGAATATAATTATAAACAAAAATTCACCTTATTTATCCGTTGCATGAGAAAGTTTACACTGCAGTATTTTAGAGAAAACCAAACATTTCAAAACAAGCTACAATAACAAATGACAATAAACCTCGTCATTGCTTAGCACTAGTTTACCTAAATTTCTTTAATCGCTATCTATTTATTTCCACGTGTACTTTTCCGGCAGATTATGAGATCGGTTTGGCGGGAGGTTTCACTATCCCAATATAATTTATAATATATCCCAATAATATTTATTTGATAAGGAAAAGATTACTCCTACCAGTCCTATATCTATATATCTTTTGGTTTTGATAAGGAAAAAAGGTCATCAGCCGTTTCATAGATATTGTATTTATGATACGAATATATATTACCCATCCCTACTGCAGTATCTTTATGTTTATCCAAATAAAACAATGTACCTTACTAAATTGGATCTCGGCAAGTCATATAGCCTTTGCTATGATTTTATTGTCTTTGAATGAGTTCCTAAAGGAGGAAATACTAAATTTGTCTTTTTGTGTGGTCTTAATGGAAGTCGGTATTTGTTTTTAAAATCAATAAGGTTTATTCATTCCCGTGTTGGCCTTATTAATTTTGTAACAATTGATGTTACCATATTTATTTGCGTAAACACGTAAAGTAAAAAAGTGATATTTTTTTTATTTTGTCATAATATAACAAAATTAAAAATTAATTGTAATTGCAAATTGTTGATTTAAAATTCATGTACCGAGAATACCAATCCGATATCTATATATCTGTTGTTTTTTTTATAAGGCAGTTTTCCTATGTATTGTATCTATCGACCATATACAAATATTATCCGTCCTTACTACAGTATCTTCCTGTTTACCCAAATAAAACAATGTAGTGTAGTCGTCGCGCTTGATGAGATAGTTGGCGATCCTAGGATCGCGCATCGAGGGTTTCAGGAAGGTCTCCTGCACGAGGAGAACGTCCACCTGATGGTCGGTGAGAAATTTGTGTACCTCGTCTTTTTGATGTTTCAGTCCGTTGGCGTTGAAAAACGCCAACTTAACTGACCGAGGTTTGCACCTTTTGGCCCTTAAGTCCATAATTTAGGCTTCGAAGTTTAATATGGCGACTACGACGCCGATATGCTCGCAGACGGCTGCGATCTGTCTTGAGGGGCTGTAATTGTCCTCAGTTTGGAGGCCAGGGTGGTAATTTCGCCAGCGTCGATGGAGCTGGCGAGCTTCGCTACGAGGGCGAAGTCGGCTGCGAAGCCGGAGCCGCCGCTCGCTTTTGGTTGTGGGGCGGGGCGGGGTGGTGGCGGGGAGGCCACTATCTTGGCCAGGGTGAGCGCTGCAGGAGGAGCGGGGGTCGGGGGGGTCGCTTTGACGACCGGAGGTCGGACCCACGCGTTTTTAGGCGGTGGGGGCGACGCAGCGGCCGGCTGCGGGGCTACGGGTGGTGCAGGGCGCGCGGCGCGGGATGTCGGGGTCTTAGCGACCTGAGAGGTGGCCTTGTGCTGGCCTGGACGAGGGGCGCGGGGACATCCGCGATAATTGGCCGTATGGCCTTGGTTGCCGCAGAGCACGCAGCTCGGCGGGGTGGAGGTGCCGCTCTCGCGGGGGCACTACTTGGTGCCGTGGTCACCCAGGCACTTAACGCAGCACTCGCGCGCGAAGCAGTTGCGAGCGGAGTGGCCATATAATTGGCATCGATGGCACTGGCCAGGGTAAGACCGCTTGTTTGGCGGTTCGACTCTAAGGCCTGATATTAGACAGACCTGTTTGATGTTGAAAATGGATTTCCCCTCTGGGGAGAGGTCTAGGACTACCAGCACCATGTCGAGAGGTGCCTTGGTCCTGGATCTAATCATCCTGTGCACTTCGTGCACCGGGTAATTTTGGGCCCGAAGGTCCGCCAGGACATCCTGGCAGTCCAATTCGCGGGGGACTCCGCGGATTACCACCCGCAGGCGCTTCTCTTCCTCCAGGGCGTAAGTGTGGTACCCCACACTATTGGCCCTTAGGAAGGACGTGAGCTGGCGGTGGTCCGCTGAAGTGGGGACCACAACTCTGATACCCACCGAGGTGACCCTCGCGTGGGTGAAACTGATGCGCCTCTCCTTGAGGGCGCCGGACACTTTATTCCAGGCTGCTTTGTCCTGGATAATTATTGGGGGCGGTTTTTTGTCTCCCGCGTGATCGCGGGTCGCGGGAGCAGCGGTAGGGACGGGTGCGCCGTCGTTGGCGCGCTGGGTTTTGGGCGGGGGAAGATCGCGAGCCCGCCGCGAGCGTTTGGTGCGCTTGGCACCGACTACTACAAAGTCGTCTTCCGACGACGAGGAGTTGCCCGAAGGCAAATCGTCCTTGGGGGGGTCGGCCGGAGCGTCGAGCTCCATACCGGCCGGGGAAGAGGGACGGCTGGTCTCGCCTAACTCTGCACCGGCGTTAGGCGAGTCTGGGGGTATTTCCCCAGGAGATGGAGGGGCTGACAGCTCCCCGGTGTCCTCCTGAGTGGCGGACGCCGGCGAGGCGGGAGACTCGTTGTGCACCAGAGGGGTGCACTTCTCTTCTAGGAAGGCTTTGATGAGGCCGGGACCGAACTTCGCCTCTATAAAGGCGAAGAACCGCGGGAGGTCTTCCTGCGTCAGCGACATGCTGGCACAGTCGACCCCCAATAGGAAATTTTATTCTAATATGATTGTCACCCAACTGGAGTCGGGTGTAATTATATAAGAATAGTAGGGTAGGGCGGGGCTAAAAGGTCCATTTTGCGTATATTGTGTCATAACTACGTACGTTTAAGGTTCCTGGGAAAGACTTTAATAATAATAGAAAGTTTAATCCTTCATCTATAAGTTGCCATAGGTGAATACGGCCAGAATTTACCAATGCGCCCAATATGGGCGATACAAAATGTAATGTCAAATGGTCCTTTTTACCCCGCAGGTGGGGTAAAAAGGACCAGTCTTGGGGTAAAAAGAACCACGACAACTAAATCATATTTTGTGGTCAAATGTAGGAAATAAATAAAAATAAATAATCTTTATATTTATTATATTTTAATCGACAGATATGTTGCGACCTATTTTGCACTGGTAACTAAGTTATATAATTATAAGGCACAGTTATAATCAGTCTTAATAACAAATCTTTAGGTCTTTGGTCTTTTTGATCTTGATAAAGGTAACATCTTAAAACAATTGTAGTATCTCAAAATCGTACATATTCATAAAAGAAATCGGTAACATCTTTAGCAACTTAAACAATTTAAAAAAATAAGTATTTTCAACAAAAAACTAATAACTAATCTTCATCAGACTGACAATTCTTACATTCGTATGCAAGAGATGAT